GTTTTTATTTACGTTTCTTTCCCAAATGTTTCTGATTTGGGGTTGTAGTCACAAAACACAAAAACTGCTGGGTTAGGGTTAGCTTTAAGTCAAAGTTAATAAAATAGGGTAAAATCAGAAACCAGACTTCCGACTTAAGAATTTGTTTTCAGAAAGTGAGTAAAATTTGCATAATTATAAAAATTAAGTTGTCAACTTAACAGTTACAAATTAGAATGATTTACTTGCATTGTTTTAAAGTCAATGTGTTGCTCTGAAGGTGATTGGTTAACTTGCTCTACACTGTAAAACATGCAAATGCACAATTGACCCAACACAAATCGATTAAGATAACTTCACACCTTCAACAAATTTATGTGGAATGAACATAAAAGAATTAAGTTGTCTCAATGAAATCTCAAGAATTGTGTTGTTTCAACTCATTTTAATTAAGTAGTTTGAACAGATAAAAAAAAGCGTACGCAACTAATATATTTTTTATTTACAGCAGTTGACCTTTCTTCAGTGTGTTTGTGTGGTTTTGAGGCCTTAACTCTGGTTCACATTCAGGAAGGTCTGACCCCGAACCATCTGAAGAAAGCCAAGCTCATGTTCTTCTACACGCGATACCCCAGCTCAAACCTGCTCAAGAACTTCTTCCCTGACGTCAAGGTAGGCTTTAAACTTGAGTGTCGTCAAATCCCGTGTGTCTCCTGTTGGTTTAAAACTGTGGGATAATAATAGTTTTTATTACTATAACTTATTATTATTTATACTATAATTATTACTATAATTAACATATTATAATGTGTATTTTAATTATTATAATACAATAACTGTAATAAATGCAACGGTGCTCACAGGCAAATTTTTCAGAATATTGGACATATATACTGTATATATACACTACCTGACAAAAATAATAACTTGACTTCTAATTGGTCATAAGCAAAAGTGGTAGAAGGTGGATTTTTCCTATGAATCATCTGTTGAACTGCAGTGTTTACAAACGGGTAATTCGTCTATATATACTGTATGTGTGTGTGTGTATATATATATATATATATATATATATATATATATATATATATATATATATATATATATATATATATAATGAAAAGTAACTAGTAACTATTTACTTGAGTAATTTTTTTTTTATCGGATACTTTTTTTACTCTTAGTCAAGTAACTTTTAGGTTTGTTACTTTTACTTGAGTATAGATTTTGGATACTCTACCCACCCCTGCGTATATGTGGTAATTATTAAAAAAAAAACAATACACTTTTAAATGTATTACATCATATCATAAAACAAGTAACAATCTCTTTAGTTTAATAATTTATTTCTATGTAAATTTCACTAATTAATTTCGAGAGGAGCATGTGATATGATTGATCCCGTCTGGTCTCTCATTTATAAACTTTAGTAAGCCAATCGGATTATTCCAAACTCTCTATAAACAGCCCGACTAACATCACTCCCTCATCTTCGTTTTTTGAAGAATCCCCCCATCCACCCCCTTTCCTCCTTTACCAGGGGGCGCACTTAGGAACTTCCTGATCTCGTACCCACTTACATGCTCATTGACCAGGCGGGAGCCCTGGGCTCAATTATCTCTGAGCTCAGGGTTCTCTCCTGGGACAGCATGCCAAACCTGCTATTATTATCAGGCAATATGTAAGTTTGATCTCTTGAAATCTATGTCAAATAGATGATGCTTACACAGCACTAATTATGTGAGACATTGTTTTCACTAAGAAAAGGAGTAATATCTCCATTCCAGATATTTTTCAAAATTATTTGAGATGATGGTAATAGTTTGTTAAACTAGTAATAGTAGGTGAAACTACTTCTATTGTAAAGCTGTGATCACACTGCACTTTTCGCTGCATGGACTTTCATTCATAGGCATGCGAATGCAGCAGACCAGCAACACAAGCATGTGTGACAAGTTACACATTTCAATAGAAACGATAGTTCGAGCTTGGTGAATTCTTACCTGTGAAATCACATCAGGTGATTGCGTGAGACCAATAGAAGATCATTTAAAATAAGAAATTTAAAATATGGAGCAATCACTCACTTTTATTAGCGTCTAATCATATTGTTTAATACCACACTTTTTCACAGCGTCATACGACAGAATTTCGTAAGCACAAGCTCTAGTGTGAGTGCACTAATGACTAAATGACTAATGTAAATGTCATTTCCATGACTTTTCCAAAACCTTGAGGGTTTTTCTGTTTGTCCAAAACTTTTCCAGGCCTGGAAAACACCATGTCAAAATTTCCAGGTTTTCCATGACAGTATGAACCCTGCTGATTATTAATAGCTAGCTGTACAGTGTGTTCATCAATTTTTAAATCTCTGATCATACTTTACACAACCTGTGAATAATGTTTATAGTACATCCATCTGTACTACACAACCAGTGGTGGAAAGAAGTACTGAAAAATCTTACTTAAGTAAAAGTACCATTACTTGTCTAAAAATATAGTGCAGTAGAGTAAAAGTTTCTGTTGTAAATATTACTCAAACTGTGTGTGTGTAAAAAAGTAGCCTTTTCAAAAGTACTCAAGAGTAGAGAGTATTATGCTGGTAAAAGCTGATGTGTTTACATGTACAATTTGTGCACGTGTGTGTAAACGTAACATTCTGTAGTGCATTTAGTTATTGCCCAGCAGGCGCACAACATCATAAGATGTTAACATTAGGTTAGATTTAGGTTGTGATGTCAGGTTACCAAAAGTCAGTGTCTAGCCAGCGTCTAATGCTGCGTTCACACCAGACGTGGCACACGCATCAAGCGCGAGTGATTTACATGTTAAGTTAATGCAAACGCGCGAATAGACATCCTGCGGCGCGAATGGCGCGGCACGAATGACGAGAATTGCGCGAATGGCATGGCGCGAATTGAGCGTTTTGTGCGTTTGACGTGCTTAATGCACGTTTCGCGCGAACCACTCGCGTTCGAAAATCAGAACTTCAGCGGACATTCGCGCCGCGTTAACCAATCAGGAGCTTGCTCTTGTGGGGGCTTGATTGTGATGTATCGCCTGTTGTCGGTGTCCCAGGGGAAATCCCCCAGCAGACGCAGACAAGAAGTTCATCAAACTGGGCTGGGCTCAGTCAGAAGCACCGCTGAAAGCCTCCATCAGCCAGGTTCAGTTTCTGGAGGAGTCTATGAGCTTAAAGAGCTGAATGCACCTCTGAAAGGATGCAGTGGACTCAGACACGGCTCTAAACGTATCGACGCTATTTATCATCCTTCATAAAGCACATAAACACTGTTATTGTCTTCATAAAATCCATGTTAGCCTTTTAGCTATGAAGCTAGAGTCACAGGGCAGACAGAAGCCCCGCCCATCACGGGAATCCGCGTCTGTTCTGAAGTGAATTTGACGCGCGAATGAAGCGAGTAACCTCAAATGTTCACACGGCTATTTACGCTTGAATAGCGCGATTTATCCGCACGTTCCGCATCTGGTGTGAACACAGCATAAGGACAACATTATTATGATGTCCAATTACAATGTCAAATGACGATGATATTTGGTTGATTTTAGGTTGATTTTAGGTTGTGTTGGAAAATAACCAAAATCCACAACATCTTAAACCAACGTCATATTGACGTCAAATACTGACATTATTCGTCAGGTATGGCAACCAAAATCCAACGTCTGATAGACGTCATAGTGGTAACATCCACAAAATGTCTAGCTGTAACATCATTTGTCGTTGATATTTATTTGATCGTAGGTTGGATGTAAGTCATTGACGTCAGCCTGATGGTAAGTTCTGACGTCAATCCGATTTTCATTTCAAAACAAAATGCAATGTCCCCATGACGTTAGGTTACAACGTCAATCTGCCATCATGGTGACAGTGTTTAAGGCTATTTCGGTTATCATACAGTAAACATCCATCATCTTTTCATCAGTGACCTGCATCTAAACAGTCTCTGGGTCAATGCCTGTAGAGATTTTAGATATCGTGGGCATTTTAAATGCTTCCAAGCAGTTTATATTATAAATCGTCCATGTCTTGAGGTAGTTCATTATGATGCGATTTACCTTCTATGTGTGATTTGATTGGACAGGAATCACAGGACTGAATATTCTAATCACCACAGACAGGAAATAATAAAGTAGTGACTGCAGGTTGAAGGACAGTAGTGGAGTAAAAGTACAGATACTGCACTAAACATGTACTCAAGAGAAAGTAAAAGCACACCGTTATAAAACTACTTAGTAAATTACAATTCCTGAGAAAAACTACTCAATTACAGTCATTTGAGTAACTGTAATTTGTTACTTTACACCACTAGTTATAACTCATACCTATATTTTGCACTTGCTGATATTTGCCAGGGGTATTAATAATTCCGGGTTTGACCATAGGTGGACTGTTGGAAGTGAAAGCAGAAGTGTGTATGATGTGAGTGTGTTGTAGATGTGGAGTGAGTAACACACCTGTGGCTGTGACGCTGCTCTCTGCAGACTCTGACACTGGACTGAGGACCGTCTGTCTCTCCAGATCACTCACACACACACGAGCACTGTCACCGCTGACCTCGTCTGCTGACACACACAGATCAACACTCACTCATTCAGTCAGTCTGTATGGTAGAGACTAAAATCTTCTGATCACACCATCGCCCTCGCATGTAGAAATCTAAAATACGGCAATATTATTTTAAAAAAGTTTAAATTTAGATTTTAAAGATATTATAAAATACACAGTTAAAGCCAGAGTTATTATCCGCCCTCTATATATCTTCCCCCATTTTCTGTTTAACATTTTCCTCAACATATTTCTAATCATAATAGTTTTAATAACTCATCTCTAATGACTGATTTATTTTCTCTTTGTCATGATGACAGTAAATAATATAAGACTAGATATTCTTCAAGACACTAGTATTCAGCTTAAAGTGACATTTAAAGGCTTCACTAGGGTAATTAGGGTAAAGTTAGGGTAATTAGGCAAGTCATTGTATAACAGTGGTTTGTTCTGGAGAAAATCCAAAACTAATATTGTTGAAGGGGGCTAATAATATTGACCTTAAAATGAGTTTAAAACAATTAAAAACTGCTTTTATCCTAGCCGAAATAAAACAAATCAGACTTTCTCCATTCACAGGAGAGCTAATAGTTGTGACTTCGGTTTTATGTCATATTTAAAAAATACATAAGAGGGCCTTTAATAGGCTGGGCGGCTGAATTGAGGCATTTTTATGAGTATTATTCAGTAAAGCCAGATTTATGTGTCATTTGCTCAGTTATGACATTAAAGGGAAAGATGATTTGTTTGTTTTGATAATATGACATAAACAAACACATGACAACCTGCTTTTGTCTGTCATAATTTTGCCAACACACAAACGCAGCTCATTAACCAAATATTAAAGGCAAGGCAAGTTTATTTATATAGCACATTTCATACACAATGGCAATTCAAAGTGCTTTACATAAACAATAATAAAAGAAACAAGTAAAATAAAAATAAAAACAAATAATAAAGTAAAAATAATTAACCGTTAACCAGTCGTCAGATTAATATTGAATTATCATAATTGACGTGTCTATTTTGTGTCTGACACATTTAATATTGCATTTTAAAGTACTGATTTATTTTATCATGTGAACATATTAACAACAGAACAAACAACAAAACATCGTCATGTACCTGCAGTGTATTTAACAGCAAAAAATAGAATAAACTAAATAAAACAAATTTAAACAAATTCAACAAATATTAACAACAAATATCAAATATTAAACAAATTTTAATATTATCAAATTATATATATATATATATATATATATATATATATATATATATATATATATATATATATATATATATATACACACACAACACACACACACACACACACCCATATATACACTGTATATGAAGTCAGAATTATTAGACCCTCTGAATAATTTTTCCCCAATTTCTGTTTAACAGAGAGAAGATTTTTTTCAACACATTTCTAAACATAATAGTTTTAATAACTCATCTCTAATAACTGATTAGTTTTATTTTAAAAAATTCAATGGGCGGCTAATAATTCTGACTTCAACTGTGTGTGTATATATACGATTTATATATATATATATATATATATATATATATATATATATAAATCATTTAACTGACACCATTAATCGGTAAAAGTGCACTCTTTTGGTTAATGGTGGATCGGTTATTATGAGCATCCCTATTAGAGATGCGCGGATGGGCTATTATTTCATCCGCAACCGCATAACAAAATTCATCATCCGTCCGCCATCCATCCGCAGTAACATTTTTGACCAATTTTTAAAACAGCACCCGCCCGCCATCTGCTGATTAGGCTCTTTATTTGAATGGCTTATTCCTTTTTATTATTAAATGAATGTTTCTTTATTGCTCATTATAGAATAGAGAATGACTTTAATGTAGACATGCAGTTAATCCAAACGTGCAAGTCATTAATTGACGACGCTTTGAAGTGACGCTAAAGATACGAGGACGTGTCTTTTCACTTGATTCGATTCCTCGGTCCTTCTTTTCCTTGCATCCTTCCCTCGTACCGTTATCCCGGTGGGGTGGAAACAAGAGGAAAGAAAGCAAGGAAAGGAAACGAGGATGTACAAATAAGAAATGAGAAGCACCCGAGCTCTCAGAATATCAGCAGTGAACTCCGTCTCCAATCGGCGCACAGGGACAAAAGTAAATAAATAGCCTAAATTAAACGCACTGTATTATACAACTTTTTTTATTGTAGCCTAATAGAAAACGCATTGACACATCATTTCAACATGCTGCTATTTAGCCTACTACTAAATGCCTATTTCACTTTATTTTTAGTAAATAGATAGAATAATAAGTCATTTACATTATAGCCTAATAATGTTTACATTTGTAGTTGTCCATAGCAACCCCAAAAACGTACCTGCTTGCCTTGCACATCTAATTAATGGGCACAGTTTTTCGACTATTTTTTTATTTATTTATTTTTTATTTTTTGCTGTGGATGTTATTGAGCTTGTAGAAATCGGAAAGAACACCAGTTCTGCGACAAGATGAACCTTTATTGATATCTCTATCAGACAATACCTATTTTATATGCCAAAAGAAATAACAGGCAGTAAAAAAATATTAACATAAATATCTTAATGTAGGCATATAGGCTATAGTCGCATGCTTTGGCAAACAGTTGAAAAATTTTTTAATAAAAACGTCATATCGTGCCTAAGCCTTATAGGTTCAGTCACCCCCACAATTAGAAATTAAATTAGAAAAATAGATTTGCCATCCCTCTTTGAGCGAACATAAAGTCTGACCAGGCTAAGTGCATGTATGACAGTGTCAGGATTCAGACGGGCGCGCCTGCATAGCCACTATAATGCGCCCTGCTGCACTGAAGGAGCGCTCGCTCGCAGCACTTGTTGCTGAAATGCATATAATTCTCTTGGAAAGGTGCTGCAGTCGTGGGAATGTCTGGCCTTATTTCTCCCTAAAGGAAAGTAGATTTTCCTCTGCTGATCCGTCTATACGGAAGTTTGTAGAGGAATACTTCTGTACTTCATCCAGAATTAGTGTATCCGATTCCTCCTCCCATTCTGTGAAGTCAGTCATAGGCTTTTTCGTTGGTGCGCCAGCTATGCCTATAAAAACAGTACAACCGCCCGCCACCCGCCCGAATTTAATTAAAATATTATTTTTTCGTAACGTCATCCGCCCGATCCGCGGTTTATCCGCGGAGTCCGCGGCTATAACCGCCAACCGCGCATCTCTAATCCCTATTACCAAGGCAACAAAACTTGTCATAAATCTGTCATAAACATGATTGTCATGAAGCCATTTTAAATATGTCATGATTATTTATTTATTTATTTATTTATTTTGACCTCATCAACAGTGGTACAAGCTGAACTTGTTATTAAAATGTCATTAAATATCAATGACGCTTTTAAAAATGATTTGAGAGAGCAATGAAACTTTTAATAAGATTTTATATCAAGTTGTCACAACAATGTCATCTTTGCATTTAAAATGACATAACTAAACAAATTACACTTAACACTGGAATTACCAGAATTCTACACTCACCGGCCACTTTATTAGGTACACCTTACTAGTGCTGGGTTGGACCCCCTCTTGCCTTCAGACCTGCCTTAATCCTTCATGAAATAGATTTAACAAGGTGCTGGAAATATTCCTTAGAGATTTTGCTCTATATTGACATGATACCATCACACAGTTGCTGCAGATTTGTTGGCTGCACATTCATGATGCCAATCTCCCGTTCCACTATATCCCAATACCCCATTTGAGTACAGTGAACTCCATGTCGAGCTCAAGAAACCAGTCTGAGATGATTCACGCTGTATGACATGGTGCGTTATCCTGCTGGAAGTAGCCATCAGAACATGAGTACACTGTGCTCATAAAATGATGGACATGGTCAGCAACAATACTCAGGTAGGCTGTGGATTTGACACGATTAGTACTAATGGAGCCAAAGACTACAAAGTGTGGCAAGAAAATCTCCCCCACACCATTACACCACCACCACCAGCCTGAACTGCTGATACAAGGCAGGATGATCCATGCTTTCATGATGTTGAGGTCAAATTCTGACCCGAGTATCTGAATGTGTCAGCAGAAATGGAGACTCATCAGAGCAGGCAACGTTTCTCCAATCTTCTGTTGTCCAGTTTTGGTGAGTCTGTGTGAATTGTAGCCTCAGTTTCCTGATCTTAGCTGACAGGAGCGGCACCCGGTGTGCTCTTCTGCTGCTGTAGCCCATCCGCCTCAAGGTTGGACGTGTTGTGTGTTCAGAGATGCTCTTCTGCAGAGCTCGGTTGTAACGAGTGCTTATTTGAGTAACTAGTCTGGCCATTCTCCTCTGACCTCTGGCATCAACAAGGCATTTGCGCCAACAGAACTGCCGCTCACTGGATATTTCCTCTTTTTTGCACCATTTCTTTTAAATCCAAGAGATGATTGTGCGTGAAAATCCCAGAAGATCAGCAGATGCTGCCATGTGATTGGCTGATTAGAATTTTGCGTTAACAAACAGTTGTACCTAATAAAGTGGCCAGTGAGTGTATAACTACTAGAATTAGCATAGCGGTCATTCTGACCATTCTCATACAAGATGACATATTGTCATGTTGTGATCATTTAGATAGCTATGGTAAATGAAGACAGAAATACTCAGCACTTTTGTGTTTTGCAATTTTAATAAAATATCAATGTTAAAAAGAAATACGCACATATTTAGGAAAGGTCAGGTTATGATTATAGTGTTTTATTTCAACTATTTATTAACTCAGTCAATTAGAATCAGTAATTTGAATAATTTGAGTATCTGATGATAATATATTTATTCATTACAGGGTGCACACAAACATACTCAGCTGTATAACTTTTATTTACTGTTCTTAACAAAAAAACAACATATTTTCGTCAATTTCACGCACACACATGAAAAAGCTGTATTTATTTAGTTTCTGTTGCTTACTGAAATGCCCCAAATGGATGTGTACTTGACCGATATAGCATCAAATCCACATAATCAGTGCTAAAGCACGCAAACACTGCACAACTGTCGCTACAGAAAGCAGAAAGGGTCTGATTTAATTTCTCCCTAATTATAAGCAGCCAGTACATTTGATCCAGCGACAGCCAAAGTCAAACACACCTAATCTGAGTTTTACAGCCCTGTTCTGAAGCTGATGCATTCGCTGTATTTCCATCATGACTGCGCATCATGCAAACGTGTGTTCTTGTTTCTTCTCTTACCTTTCTCATAGACTTCCTTCAGCACGCCTCTCTTGATGAGCTCTTCTCTGCTCTGACGCATCGACATCTTCCTCTCCAGCACTGAAAAATCACCAACAACAACAACATGCATTAGTTATTGAGTTTGCTTTTCAACGCTGTTTTGTTTTAAATCTGAAATACAGCAACAATTGTTAAACATTATTATAATTAAAGAGCTTAAAATGACCAAGAGGCGACAATCTAGTGTAATTTGGGAAACAGCCACTAGAAGGCGCGATAGAACAACAGCATATTTTAAGTCTGTAAAATGAACTATTAAAAATGCTGATGATTATGGTAACAAATGTTGTATTGTCATCTTTCAGGTTGTATCTCAGCTTTAATGCGCTTTTTAAATAAATTTATAAAAAACAACGCAGCTGCTTGCCATCGCGACAGTAACTTATTCACAAATTAAAAAGTCAAGGTCTTGAATAACACTCCTTATACAGGGCTCGAAATTAACCTTTTTGCTTGGTAGTACCGGTGCTCCTAACTTTAAAAATTTAGGCTCATCAGCCAAAATTTAGTCGCACCCACCAATTATGAGCACCGTTACTACAAGTTTTATACAAACATATTTATTGTATTGGAAATCAACACTAATCAAACTAACAAGCAAAAAAGAATAATATTAATATATGCAAGCGTGAGGAAAATATGTCTCAACGAAATCCCGTTATCACAAGAAAATACATTTTTATAACAAAACTGAGTGAACATAGCATACACGGAGCGCTCACCGGCCCTGCACACACTGCATGAATGAATCTGTTAACGGTATAACTCTGATGTTCTCACTTTTGACTGTCGGATATCGCACTGATGCTTTTGACACATACTGTACCTTATTATATGCATACATGTTAACAGCAATACTAGTCTTTTTAGGAGTAGCGATGTTAGTTTACTCAGTGCAAGCCCGTTTGTGATGGTGTACGTGGTGTTAAATTTGACATATAGCTGCCCCTTGCACGGCGGACAGCATCTGGCGATTATATGAAGGCAAAAGACTTATATTAAACAGAAGCTCTCGTGCTAAATGTGGCAAACAGTTACCTGAAAACTCCATCCCACACACTTTTCATAGCGGACTTGAAGCCAATAAGTCTTCTACTCTTGGAAAAGTGTAGATGGTGGATTAACATTCAGCACATGATCAGTATGTGTCATTATTTGTAACTAGATGGTTTCTAAAACTAAATCTGTCAGTGTTATGTGATCTTCATTCTCATCTTCAGCGCTTTACAATTTTTCGCGGTTGTAGCTCTCTCTGTCATCCGAAGCCAGAAGGCGCTGAGTGATTGACAGCTGATATTAACCAATCATTCGCGTTTAGTGCTAGAGCAGTGGTGGGCCAATAAGAAGAGCGCGAAGGCGGGGCAAACATTACGGACTAGGCTTTGTTTACTGCAGCAAGTTGACATGACAACTTTTTTAATCCATTCCCGAGCGCTGCGTTTCGCTTTTCAAGTACAGACAAACAGCTTAGAGATGCATTCTGCGTGAATGTCTCCCGAATCCGCGCATGTGCGGAACATTTTGCAGTAAAAACTGGTCGCACACAACAGTTTTAAGCACTCGCAGAAATGCTCCCAAATATATTTTAAGGTCGCATAGATAAAATTTCGGGCGCATATGCGACCAAAATGTTCGCAATTTCGAGCCCTGTTATAAATCCAGAAATCAGCCAAAACAATTGAGATGACTATAAAAAGTAAAGAATAAATGCTTTCATCAGGGAGTAAATACCTTTCAGATCGAGTAGAGCTGGAAAAACCAATGCAACAAGCTCACTTATCATCAGGAGACATGACTTATACATACACAATTAATTTCAATTCAATTACACATTTGTATTTTAATTTATTACATTTTTGACAAACTTTTTTTATGTTTTTCTTTTTATAAAATAAATGTAAACTTAAAAATTATATTTTATTTGGCAGCCAATGCTGAGATCCATAAAGCAGATTGATCTAAACTTAATATTTGCTGTTTGACTATGGCGATTATTTACTTTTTCCCCTTCCACTCCAATTTATTTATTAATTTTGTATTTTTTTAAACCTATTACGACTTATTTTATGCACATAAAAATATGAATAAAATTAGGAGTGAACTTGAATCCATCTGTATTTGCTTATGTATGCTTGTATAACAAAGTGTGCCGCAAGCCTGTGTTTGAGTGAAGGTCTCGGCCGTTAGATCGCCCCCTGGGGGCTGGCTGCAGTACAAGTCATAAAGCCCGCCTCCTCCGTGTTAATGAAGGAGACTTGAGCCCAAATAAAAAAATGTATTACACTTGCAATAAAATGTCCTGAAAGATGGTTCTGGTGGATTAAGGCACTGGTTATTGTGCTGAAATAGGTGCAGATCTTCATTTTTGTAAACAGTTTGTTTTTAGCAGTAATTTAATGCTGGGCGTGTCATCGTGATTGACAGCTGTGATTGACAGTTTCTCAAAGCAGCGCGTCTGAGCTTCGGCAGGAGACTGAAGTGTTATTATTCGATTTCTGTGTTATTTTACCATGACAAAATGAGTTCAGCAGTAAACTACAGTTTCTGACATACATGATCCTGGTGGAACACTGTTTATTCGCTAAGGTCAGGGCTTTTTTCGAGCTTTATTAGTTTGCTGATACACGCCTAACCACCCAGATAGCAAAATACACTCGGGCCAGTTCCGGCTAGATTCTCGCCTGCCGGAGACTTACCCCTCAGAGCTCCGACTGACTACCTCTGCTGGACCTACTCCGGATGCCTGGACTCACTGCCCGATTCCAGCCCGAGTCAATCGAGAGCCAGATGCTGTGGCCGAGCAAGCCGGAATCAGCCCGCGACGCCACGAGTAGGTTATGCGCTGCGGCCCGGAGCTGGCGCGATTGAATATATAAAACCCTCATATTTGTTAACGTTATTACATCCATTTGTGTTGATATGACAGCAAACGCATGCTGAGAAGTTCGGGGGGCGTGGTTGATTTTACATAAAGCGTTTGGTTGGAAGCTCGACTCCGCTCATTTTCGCGGCTCCTCCTCTGGCTCCATCAGACAGTCCTTCTGCGCATGTCAAGGCTCCAATTTCAGCAGTCTTTTGCGACAGTTTGTGCCCGTCAAGCAGGCGTTTTGCCCTCAAGGCGTTCAATGGGAAAAGGGGCTGTCGCGTTTTTTACAGTCATTGGTGTATAATAACATGGTGTAAAACAGATTAAGATTGTGCATAATGTTAATGCATGACAATGGTGCGGTGAGCTCTGACAATTTGTTTCTTTTTCTCAAATGATTTTGAAATTGTTGTTTTATTGATTCAAATGTCAATAACAAAAATCTGACTTTGTGAGCTGAAGGGGAATTCCTACAGCATCAGAAGTGTGCAGTGTTGTACCTGCAGACGTCTGCTTGAACTTGTCGCTCTTTTTCTTTCTCCATTTCCAGGGTTTGAAGAGTCGTCCTAGACTGGCCAGCTTGCTGCGTCTGCGGATGGGTGGAGTGTGTGTGCCGGGCACCAGAGAATCTGAGCGCATCGCCGCCAGGCGCTCCGCACCCTCTGCTGGACACAACAAACACACATTCATTAAGGAACCAGTACTTTAAAAGGAGATCTATTGTGCAAAGTTCACCTTTATAAGGGGTTTAAACACAATCAGCAGTGTGTGAATATATCCAGCCTCTAATGGTCAAAATGTATTCATTCTATTGTTTATGATCTCAAACAGTCTGCAGAAACACTGTGATTGACATTCTCCCTTTGTATGCATCATCAGAAGGGGAAAGCCCCGCCCACTACTGCCCATCAATCCCTTATAACCATAAACAGCAGCCCTGAGTGAGAAGCAGCCGTCTGCCCATTAGCCATTAGAGTGTTTGAGCTGCTGAAGATGATGTCAGGATTATAGATGTGGAGTTTTAGATGAAGCACAAATGAACAGCGACAGGAGTCTCCATAGACTGAAGCACAGATAACGGTAATCCTGTTTTTGAATCTGCCACTATGCTGACACACAGGCATTTGTAGCTCCGCCCTCTTCTAAAAAGAGCACAATCTCATTTGAATTTAAAGCGACAGTCACCAAAACGGCACAATTAGGATCAAAGCCTGAAAGGGTCAGTTTCAGACAGATAGAGAACATTATCTGTGTGCTATTTTCAGCTTAAACTTCACACACACACTCTAGAGACATCAGAGAGGCATTTCGCATCCTATACAAATATATATAGTCAGTCACAATTGATATCCATTGCATTTTTTTTGGTAAGTTAGCAAAAGCACACTAGTTATTACACTAACCATACTATAAAAACATACAAATACACAAACTTATTCACACATTAAAAAGTTAAGGTCTTGAATAACACTTCTCCTAAATCCAGAAATCAGCCAAAACAATTGAGATGACTTTGAAAAGTAAAGAATAAATGCTTTCGTCAGGGAGTAAATACCTTTCAGATCGAGTAGAGCTGGAAAAAACAATGCAACAAGCTCACTTATCATCTGGAGACATGACTTAAACAGACATTCCCGTCTCCTTTCTTCCATTTTCCTTTAATTTGTATGACTTTTTCCATTCGGCAAGTCAAATAAACCAGGGCAAAGACGTCTATTAGCATTCATACGCTCAGATTAAGGAAAATCGCAAGTCAAGTATTAAGTGTACACTCTTTTAACCCCAGGAGAATAATGCTTCAGCGCTTTAATAATCCACTATTCATTTCTCAGAGTGACTAATATGCTCCCTCGCTGACTGTAAAGTGTGCAAGAAGCCTTCATTATGACTTCATGTGCTTTATTGCATCTGAGTCAGCAGGAATCATGTATTAGTGGACACTCATTTCTGCTATCATTGATTTGTATGTGCTGAAAATAGTGAGGAGTGAATGAAATCAGTGCCCTGCAACTTTCAGCAGTTCATACACTACGGCCAATTTTTTTACCCAATTCCCCTATAGCGCATGTGTTTGGACTGTGAGGGAACCCAGAGCACCCGGAGGTCGCCGTGCCACTCTGTTTTATGTTCAATCCACTTAAATTTGCAAAAATAATTAAGTAAACTCAATCCATTTGTGTCGGGACAACATGACCCAGCATTTTTTACAGTGACCACACGGCAAAAAATGCTTTTCTTGCTTAGATTTTTGTCTTGTTTCTAGTCCAAATATCTAAAAGTTCTTAAATCAAACATTTTCCAGATAAGTAATACATATTGTCTTTTTTTAAGAAATAATATGCCAAGATGAAGTGAGTTTTTCCTTAAATCAAGCTAAATAATCTGCCAATGGGGTAAGCAAAATAATCTTATCACAAATTGAAAAACAAGATTATTTTAAATAATAATAATACAATTTTTTGGTCCTAAAGTAAAATAATAATAATGATAATAATAATAATAATAATAATAATAATAATAATAGTAAAATATAAAATATATAGAAAATATAATAAAATTTAAACATTACCCAGCTAAAAATTTTATTCATTTTATTTTAACTTTTAATATTTAAAAGACAAAAAAATCATTAAAAACAACAAAACTACAAAACTAAATTTAGCCACAATACCTAATAAATAAATAAATAAATAATAATTTACAAAAAAAGTATTGTACAATTTGCTGCTGCTCATTTCTCCATTAAATTTATATTAGTTTTTTCATTTGTATGAAATGTTACCAATATTTAAATTATTATGCGCTAAAATAACACCTAATTGATTTACGTTCAATCTACTTAAATACACTTCAGCGATTTGTGTTGTTCACAACGTGATAGAATTGTGTAGAACTCAGTACTTTTCACAGTCGCTGACAGCTATAAAAACAGATAAAAACCATTTTGGGTCTAAAATATAATAATAATAATAATAGTAATAATAATAATAATAATAACAATAATAATAATAATAACTATAATAGTAGTAATAATAATAATAATAATAATAATAACTATAATAGTAATAATAATAATAATAATAATAATAATAATAATAATAACAATAATAGTACTACTACTAATAATAATAATAATAATAATAATAATAGTACTAATAATAATAATAATAATAATTATAATAGTAATAATAAATACATTAAAATAAAATTTTAAAAGTATTGGTTAAATAACAAATATTTAAATAAATCTTATTATAACTTCATATCTATTTAATATTCAAAAATAATTAAAAACTACAAAGGCTTAACTAAATTTTGCCACAATACCGAACTATAAAATACATAAAATATTACTTAAGAGGTTTTTGTTGAATTTGCTGCTGCTCATTTTTCCTTTTCATTTATATTAGCTTTTCCCTATCTAAAAAGGCTTACTTATATTTAAATTATTATGCAGGCAAAAAAAGTTTCTGAAATAAAACAAACATTAATTGAAATAAAGGAAGCACTGTGACCTCACAGCAAAAAGACCGCTGGTTCGAGTCCCGGCTGGGTCAGTTGTCATGGGTTTCCTCCAGGTACTCCCGTCTCCCCCACAGTCCAAACACATGCGCTATAGGGGAATTGATTAACTAAATTGGGCGTATTGTGTGTGTGTGTGTGTGTGAATGAGTATGTATGAGTTGTTTCCCAGTACTGTGTTGCAGTACATTCAAATTTTAAGAAGAGCAAAGAAACAAACAAAAAAAGAAAAGGAAAAAGAATCAAATTTGGTTAAAATTCTGTAGTTTGTATATATATATATATTGCAATATTTTGTATGAATTTAAATGTATTATCTTCCTGTACTGGAGATGTTAGTGGCTAAAATATTATTTGATGAAATATATATTCATTTAATAAATCTTCAAATGCACCAAAATATATGATCTACATTCATAAAAATGTTCATTTTAGGGTGTACTTACTGTAGAAAAACACTTTTTAATATCAATCTGGATTTGAAATCTGTTTTTCCCACATGGTTCAAAGCCAAATATTCAGCATCACAGCTTTACAGCTTCAGCGTCACTGAAAAATTGAAACTTCTTTCATAAAAAGACTTGAAATAAAAGGCTGTTTTATTAAACACAGACGCAGAACTCAGTGTGTGTGTCTGCTGGACGCTCCTCTGGGAAACTGAAGCATTCTGGATGTTTTCTCCTTCACTGGTGTAAAAATAACCTGCTGGTGCATTAAATCAGGTCAGCAGGTAAAGGAAATGATGCTGTTTTTTTCCAGAAGGGCTTTTCTGCTGAACGTTCTCTTCAGCTCCACGTCTGACCAATGAATGTAGGTCACAGAAAAAAAACACAACACAACTATCACATGTGGATTCAAACTATAGCTTATTTAACATTACAGCGGCTGAAAAAATTGTTAAGGCTACTTATATAAAGTGAGCTGAAACAACACAATTCTTGAGTTTTTTGGGACAACTCAATTGTTTTATGTTCAGTCCACTTAAATTTGCAAAAACATTTAGTTAACTCAATCGATTTGTGTCGGAAAAACATGAAGGAACTGTGTGGAAGCATGAATTAATATACAGTGCGTTGTTTGCAGGATAGATTATAAAAATTCTATAGTCCATAATATAAAGACTTAATTAAATTAAATATTAATTATCTAATTTTATTATTACTATTATAAAATCTAAAAATGAAAATGCTAAATATTTCATTTATTTTAAATATTATATAATTTATTTCATTTTATATAATTATATTTTATATAATTTAATAGAATATCATATTTTTATTTAATAGTTTTGAGATATAATGACAATATGCAGTGTAAATTCTATCATAGTCTATAGTTAATAATTAAATGATACACAGGAAATAAACAATTTAAGTAATATATTTTAATCTTAATATCTGAACATTTAAAAATATTACATATTTTTTTAAAAAGTGCAATATATTTAATATATTTTATATATATTATATCTAATATTATTACATTAAATATAATTAAAATGTAATATATTTTAATATATAATAGTTTCAAGAAATAATGACAATACTGAGTATTATTTCTATAAATCAGTCGGTAATTAGATTTAAATGCACAAGAAATAAAATATTTATTATATTTTATTGTTGCTATTATGAAATCAAAAAATCTAAAATTCTATTTAATAAATAAAAATACTATATATATATAACATATTATAATTATAATATATAATATTTAGAATAATCTATAATTACATTTAATGATTACAATCAATTATTAATTTAAATGATGCACAAAAAATAAAATATTTAATAATATATTTTATCATTATATAATATTCAAAAAATCTAAAATAAGTTTTTTAATGAGAATATTTTTTTCATTCACATTCTTTTTTGGCTTAGTCTTTTTATTAAACAGAAGTCCCCACAGCGGAATGAACCGCCAACTTATCTAGCTTATGTTTTACGCAGTGGATGCCCTTCCTCCTGCAATCCATCACTGGGAAACACCCATACACTCTCATTCTCACTCTCATACACACAAACACACACAGACACTACGGACAATTTCGCTTAACCAATTCCATACAGAAACGCCAACTGACGGTCACTGTAAGGTGACAGCGCTAACCATTGTGCCACCACAATATATTTTAAAAATAATATATCATATTTAATATAGTTATATTTAATATAAATAAATTAAGTATATTTTTAAAATATAATAGTTTAAATTCCATAAATTATAGTCGAACTTTTGTGATAAATAATTTGTTATAAAATCTTTCATATTACTATTATAAAATATTAAATATTTTTATAAAAATACAATATATTTAATATATTTTAAAAAGAGATAATCAGATTGGGGTTGGGATGCGTCACATCATGGTGTGAGGAAAATATTAAACTGAAGTCATTACTTTTAAAATTGCTGTTAAACGTTTTGTCAGTTTTCTTTTAATATGTTTTGAGAAATAATAACAAAATGAACTATAAATTTTTAAAACATTTATTCTACAATCAGATTTATAATTGCTACGTTATATATTATAAAATACAATATAAGTTATACAATATTTGTAAAAAAGAAAAGAAAATCAGATTTGATTTGTGACATCATGTTGTGTTGTCTAGAAAATATATCATTTAATTATTATTTACTTTCTTTTAATGTATAAAAGTTTTGAGAAATAATGACAATATGGAGTATAAAGATTAGAAATCATAATCAATAAGGCTAAAACTGATAAAACGTGATTCTTACACAAAATAACAAACATGTAAGCACTATTAAGCAAATTAACAAAAAACGTGCATGTGGAAATCCAGCCAGCAGTACACCATAATATAGCTTTTTATTATATTATTATTTCTATAAAGCAATACAAAATATTTAGGACATAATACCAATAAAAAAAAATGCTACTCATATTTCATGCGTCAGATCCTGCTGTGTCATTGCAAGGTGATTCCTATTTTCTAATTACAAAAATACAATAACTAAATAATAATGAATATGCTATAATACAGTATAGTATTATTATAATAATCTTGTATATTACATTAATGTTTTATATTGTATATCTTTATGTTGTATTCTTAAACATGTATATTTTGCCTATTTTTGTTAAATTATTGTGCATTTGCATTTTGACTTGTATTATTATTATTTACTATTCTTTTTTGTATATTAGCATATATTTAAAAATTATATTTTAACAATGTATTCTTTTATAAATAGGTTTTTTGTGTGTATACTTATTTATACATTTTAATAAAAGTATCATCTTGTTTAAATATGTATATTTTGGCTATATTTTTAATTATTGTGCATTTAATATTTTGACCTAGTATTCGTTTTTGTATATTTTGTATATATACATTACATTTTCGTTGGATTCATATATAATGTTTTGACTATTTTGTAAAGTTTTTATGCATTTAATATTTTGACATGTAATATAATTTTTTTAGTGTATTGGTATACATTTATACATTACATTTATGTTGGATCCTTGTGTAATATTTTGGCTATTTTGTATAATGCATTTAATATTTACACTTTTTTAAATTATTGTGCATTTAATATACTGACCTACAGTATTATTTTTGTATATTTGTATATATTTATACATTAGATTTACATTCTTATATAAACTAGTAAGTTTTGCGTATATTGTAAAGTTATAACGCATTTAATTTGACTAGTATAGTATTCTTTTTGTATACTTGTATATATTTATATGTTGTATTTTTATATAAATACATACATTTTGCATATTTTGTAAAATTATTGTACATTTAATATTTTGACTTGTAGCATTATTTTTTTGTATATTTGTATATATTTCTACATTTTAATCCAGTCTTATAGAAACACGTGTTTTGCCTGTTTTGTAAACTTACGATGCATTTAATATTTTTCCCTATAGTATTATTTATGTATATTTGTATATATTTATACATTATATTGTTGTTCTTATATAATCAAGTATGTTTTGCCTATAAAGTTATTATGCCTATAATTTGCCTTGTATAGTATGCTTTTCGTATATTTGTTTATACTTAAGTATGCTGTATTTTTATATAAATACGTATATTTTGCTCATTTTGTAAAATGATTGTACATGTAATATTTTGACTTGTATAGTATTTTTTAATCCAGCATAGTCTTATATAAGCACGTGTTTTGCCTATTTTGTAGTTATAATGCATTTATTATTTTGACCTATAGGATTATTTTTGTGTATTTGTATATAATTATACATTATATTTAAGTTCTTAAGGTATTTAAGTATGGTTTGTCTATTTAAAAAAGTTATTACGCATTTAATTTGACTTGTATAGTATCCTTTTTGTATATTTGTATATGTTTATACATATCAATCCAGTTTAGTCTTATATAAACGTGTTTCGCCTACTTTATAAAGTTATGATGCATTTAATATTTTTACCTATAGTATTATTTATGTATATTTGTAAACATTTATACACTATATTTACATTCTTATATAAACAAGTTTGCCCATATGGTAAAGGAATAACAGATTTAATTTGCCTTGTATAGTATGCATTTCTGTATATTTGTAACTATTTATATGATGTATTTTTATATAAATACATACATCTAGCTTATTTTGTAAAATTATTGTAGGGTTTTTTTATTATTTTGACCTGTACAGTATTCGTTTCGTATATTTGAAGATATTTACACATTATATTTACGTTGTATTCTTATATGTTTCAGCTATTTTGTAAAGTTATTATGCATTTAAAATATTGACCTATATTCTTTTTGTATATTTGTATATATTTATACATTATATTAAAGTTAATATATAAACATGTATGTTTTGCCTATAAAGTTATTACGCCTTTAATTTGCCTTGTATAGTATGCTTTTCGTATATATTTGTTAATACTTATGTATGCTGTATCTTTATATAAATACTTACATTTTGCCCATTTTGTAAAATTATTGTACATGTAATATTTTGACTAGTATAGTATTTTTTTCTATTTTTGTATATATTTATATGTTGTATTTTTATATAAATACATACATTTTGCATATTTTGTTAATTTATTGTACATTTAATATTTTGACTTATATAGTATTCTTTTTTGTATATTCGTATATATTTCACATTTGAATTTAGTCTTATAGAAACACGTGTTTCGCCTATTTTGTAAACTTATGACGCGTTTAATATTTTCCCCTATAGTATTATTTACGTATATTTGTATACATTTATTCATCATATTTACATTCTTATATAAACAAGTATGCTTTGCGCTTATGGTAAAGTTATTACGCATTTAATTTGCCTTGTATAGTATGCTTTTCTGTATATTTGTATCTACTGTATTTATATGTTGTATTTTTATATAAATATATATATATTTAGCTTATTTTGTTAAATTATTGTAGGGCTATATTTAATATTTTTACTTGTATATTTGTATATATTTAAACATATTAATCCAGTATAGTCTTGTATAAACGTGTTTCGCCTAATTCATAAAGTTATTATGCATTTAATATATTTACCTATAGTATTATTTATGTTTACTTGTATATATTTATACATTAAATTTACGTTCTTATATAAACAAGTATGTTTTGCCTATATGGTAGACTTATTACGCATTTAATTTGACTAGTATGCTTTTCTGTATATTTTTATATGTTTATATGTTGTATTTTACATAAATACATACATTTAGCTTATGTTGTAAATTATAGGGCTATACTTAATATTTTGACTTGTATATTTATAGATATTTAAACATTTAATCCAGTACAGTCTTATATAAATACCTACGTTTTGCCAATTTTGTAAAATTATTATTAATAATATTTTGACTTGTATAGTTTACATTTTCCATATTTGTATATATTTAAACATTTTAATGTGATATAGACTCATATAAACTCGTGTTTTGCCCATTTTGTAAAATTATTATTAATAATATTTTGACTTGTATAGTATTCTTTTTGTATATATTTAAACATTTTAATGTGATATAGACTCATATAAACTCGTGTTTTGCCCATTTTGTAAAATTATTATTAATAATATTTTGACTTGTATAGTTTACATTTTCCATATTTGTATATATTTAAACAATTTAATGTGATATAGACTCATATAAACTCGTGTTTTGCCCATTTTGTAAAATTATTATTAATAATATTTTGACTTGTATAGTATTCTTTTTGTATATTTGTATATATTTAAACATTTTAATGTGATATAGACTCATATAAACTCGTGTTTTGCCTATTTTGTAAAGTTATTATTATTAATATTTTGACTTGTATAGTATTCTTTTGTATATTTGTACATATTTACGTTCTGTTCTTATAAAAATAGGTATATTTGTGGTTGTTTTGTAATGTTAATCATATATAATTCATACATTACGACTATTGACATGTACACTAATGTGAAGTGAGCGATTAAAAAGGCCAACAAAAGCATGAATGTAAAAGCGTGTTTAACGGACGGGCCCGGTCTCTGGTACAGCAGCAGCAGCATTATTATGAAGATGTTCACTCACCGTCCCGGATGTCATTCCCGCGGCTGCAGTTGCTGCAGATGTGCTTGATGTGACCGGAGATCACAAACGGCGTGTTGTTGTTACCGGGGGCGGTGGGCTGCCGTAGTTTGACCAGGTTAAAGGCTCTCCGTTTGCGCGGTTTCTCCGCCGAGGATGACGAGGATAAAGATGAAGATGATGACGCGTCCTCCCGTAACGTTAACCGGGGTGTGATCCAGGTCCCGTGCGCGCCGGTGAATGCGGGACCCGCCATGGGCGCAGCGGCGGCGGAGCCGTGTCTATCTGTCACACCCCGGGATGGAGCGGATATCGAACGGATGAGCGCGTGCATGAGCCTCACCGATCATACCGAGCGGGAGCGCGGGTTTATATGACCGTTAGGTGCGCGAGTCCACCGACGACACGCGCAAAACCCGCTCGGCCCACCTGAGTGTAAACCGAGTGTACACAAACACACTCACATACACACACACCCGCTGATTTAAGCAGTGTTTCTAATACATCACGCCGTCAAAAATCCGTTAACGCTTTTCGGCGAGGTCCGTAAACTGTTGTTCTGCACGCAAATGACAGCGACTGCCGCAGATTTGTTTATCCTAAGCGGACGGATGCGCCTCTCGGTAGCATCACTTCAAATTCATCAACGTGACGCAATGCCGTGAAGTCCACGTCAAAATACGCGGAGCGGAATCTGCCGTTAACCGGAGCGAAATCTAGTACGGCGAGAGCGCGACTTATGAATATTAACGACCTAACGTAACGTTCGGCCATCTGATTGGAAGCTGTCGTCAAGTACGCTCACACGCTGAAGGCTTGTCTCGTGAATATTAATGACGCAAACAGGCGTTCAGCCAATAAGCAGTCTCTTGTTTGGTTTATAACACCCGTTATCTACGTTTTATGCTACATTTCATTTGTGGGTTTAAATTATGTTTGGTTATTTCATGTCTCTACAACAGTTTCTCGCTGGCCATATTCACGAGCGCCACGCCGTCGCCATAGTATTATTTTTGCCGTCCACAGCCTGAGAGATTCCAGCCCGGATCTACCGACAGACCCCGCCTACGTCACCAGGTTTGAACGGTGTCGCTCCGCTAGAGGCTGCGATTACTGAAACCTGGACTAAAATAAAAATAATAACGGGAACCATTTTTTATTCAGCAGGACTGTCTGTGTCACAGCTATTGAGAAACGCTGCTTTAATACCCAGTGGACAGAGAATTATGCAGAATCGACATATATTTAGATATGATCATGCAGATCACTGCAATAAACACCATCATTTGCTTAACAGGCTCTATGATCTGTGTTGACAGATTATTTAACATGATAAAACAGGCCTACATTATGTAAACAAAGTTGCATTTTTTATAAATGATTCTCTTTAGTGTTTTATTTGACATATTTTAACGTCCCTGTTTGTTCATTTTATTTATTAATTATTTATTTTATTGTAAATTTTATTATATTATTTCATTTATTGTTTATATTTAGCTATTTTTAATAAGACATATTTAATAATACTTCGTATTATTATTTTTTTACTACTTATTATTGGTATTTGTATTTGCATGCATATTAACAAAATGAAAATATTATATTTGCCATATTTTAACCTGCCTATTTATTTATTTATTTTCACTTTTCATCATTCTATTTAATTATTTATTTTATTGTGTCATTTTTATTTTGTTAATTAATTAATTTTTTATATTTAGCTATTATTTATATTATTATTATTATTTATTATTACTTATTATTGCTATTTGTATGTGCATGCATATTAGCAAAACAAAAATAATAAAGTGTTTTATTTAATATGTTTTAAC